GCTTCAGTCGTGTCTGACTCTGTGCGACCCCATAGACGGCAGCCCACCAGGCTCCCCCATCCCTGGGATTCTCCAGGCAAGAACACTGGAGTGGGTTGCCATTTCCTTCTCCAACGCATGAAACTGAAAAGTTAAAGTGAAGTCGCTTAGTCGTGTCTGACTCATAGTGACCCCATGGACTGTAGCCTACCAGGCTCCTCCATTCATGGGATTTTCCAGGCAAGAGTACTGGAGTGGGGTGCCATTGCCTTCTCCATCAAAGGACTGAGAACCATTAAGTTAAATATGGTATTGTTTCATTCTTTTTTATAGCCTGGTGCTACAAATTGAGTCTTTATTAAGACTCTTTTAAGTCTCAAAACAAAACCAAAAAGATCCTGAGTCCTCTGTTCTCCCAGCAACAGTTAGCTAATTTTATAATCTTTTACCACCCTCTTGTCTGCAGAATATCTCACTTGATGCTGAGGCATCCTCCTGGTAAATATAAAACAATGGTTCTGAACTGTTGACTGCACAGGGTGCTTAAATACGAATACTAATAAATAGGCTCCACCCCAAACAGTCTTAGCTGTCCTCAAGTGGGACTTGGTGCTAGGCTGATTCAAAAGTTCCTTCAGCTGATTCTAATGTGCAGCCAGGGATGGGAACCACAAGTGTATGTGGTGGTTGTTAAGTAGCTTCTATGGGTCAGGCTCTAGGGCAGTTATACAAGATGACTGGACCATGCAGTAGAAAAGCTAATTAGGACAACAAACTGGCAAAATGTGACAACAGAGTGTAAGTGCTTTTATTCTGTAATTTGACAGACAATAACAGAGCATTTAACAAGTGCCAGAGCTGGATTGCTCCAGGTTTGCTTCAAGTCCTGTGGGCTACCTGCAAAGACCAGAGAAACTTCACAGAAGAGGCAGCAGCCAAGCAGGGATTTGGAGGTATCTTTTTTCCAAGGTCTTCATCAAGTAAGGTAGAGAGGGCAGGCATGACTGCAGAGGGAACAGTGTGTGCTGGGCACAGAGGAGTGTGTGGGGCTGGGAGAAGCTGGAGATGAGATAATGGTTGGGTGCAGATGTAGCCTTAGAGATAGACTAAGGAGTGTAGAATTGGTTCAGAATGCTTTTAAATGACCCTAAAAGTTTTTAAGCTGGAACTAATGGGGTAAGAGTACAAAATATTTGTATTTAAAACAATGCAGACTTTTCATCCACACCTATAGCTTGAATTTGCTAGCCTATTTAAAACTAATGGTTTGACTGATCATCCCTCACCCCCTTTGCCCTTGACTGACAGAACCAGACACTGTGACCTTGAGGGGATACACTTTCCAGTCCCAGTGGCAGGTGGAAGGATAGTGGAGACCATTGTTTTTCTAAGTGACTAATTGAATGTAAATAGACTTCATCCTGAGCTTTGACCTGGACAGATCAGCTCAGGGTCTCTGCCTGCTGCCTCCCTTACTCAGGTTCTCTCATAAGGTTTTGTTAGTGCATCTGTGGATATGATCCCTCTTATCAGAGTGTTTGTGTGACTTGCTTCAGAGCAAGTAAACAAACCCAAAAGATCAAACCCTCCAGTTCCCTTCAGCTCCTGAAGCTATTCTGCATTTTTTTACTCTTACTCAGGAGTCAAGGACAAATAGGTCAGACATGGAATCATCTCAGTATACTAGGGACTATAAACTTCTGGCTAAGAAGCTCACAAAAGAAACATTACTTTCCAGTTGAGAAAGATGAGGATTCAGCCTAGGCCAGTAGTTGTCAAATCAGGGATCATAAGCTTCAAGCCAAGTCATGGGCTAAAAATGTAGATTTGGGAGACTCACTGTAGACCTCCTGAATCAGAATCTGGGGTTGGGCCAAAGAATCTGTGTTTTAAGCACTCATTCCCAGATCATTCTGATGCTGCTGATCTGTAGGCCACGCTGAGCAGTTCTGGTCAGTGGCACCCACTGGCAGCTCTTTTGGGGAAGGGAGGAGGACTCATCAGATGGGCCCCTGGATTCATAATCCTTCAGTCCAGTCAGCTTGCAAATTTTGCACTGTGCTTGGTTTTCAAGTTATTTCTAGGTTAACATCTTAATTGAGCTGTTCAGCTCAGCTGAGGCTTTGAGATACTATAGATAAAGAGAGGTTTAGAGGAAGCATTAAGTATGTATCTCTGGCTGTGACTCTGTTATCCTTTCCAGTCCCACTTATCTGAAGAGCCAGGATTTCTCAAAGGACAAGTAACCTTAGAGGGGAGTATCATTGGGAAAGCAACACAGTCCCTTTCCTTGCCATGCCCTGCTAGAGAACTATATTAAGGAAAGAACCTCAAAAAAAACAAACAAACAAAACACATCAATTTGTTGGGTAAAGATACTTCCATCTTCTGTGTTTGCCAGCTCCTGGAGTTACAGGAGCACAAGTTTAGGCAAATGAGACCCTTTTCTATCTAAGGTGTCTGTTCAGGTCTTGATGCACTAGAAATCCATCTGGCTAACTCATTAGTGATAACAAGTGTTAGATGCTCATAAATCTCCCACGATTCATTGGCTGAAGACATCTTAAATGTGGACTTTTGGCTTTAATTGTCTTTGGTTGCTTCTTTAGCATACTTTAGTTTGTACAGATTTGGGGTTTTGAAACTTGTTTTTAATTAAGACATGGTTTATTTTTATTGCTTGAGATAAAATGCAGGCTGGGAGGCTCAAATCTAAGTTACAAAATAAAGTGCATCTGGGCAGACCAAGGGGAAAAAACAAAAACAGAACATAAAGGCTGAAGTGTGTGCCAGGATTCTTAGATTTACTTAGTAATTTCTTGGAGAATAAAAATCCCAGCACCTGCATTATAAAAAAAAAAAAAGCATACCTTATAAATGTCCTTCTCTTTGAAATACCTAAATGAACTAGACTGAATTATAAACTAATGGCTTGTAAAAATTCACCTTGAGCCAGCTACTGAAGATATTAAATAAAAGAGGTAGAGAGAGGCTATGAGGAAACCCAACCTGCAGTTTGTTTGTTTTATCAGTAATGTAACTCAAAAGTAGCCAAGCCGAGAGCTTTCCCTGTGTTTTGTTTCCCCAAGCTGAGCCTGTGAATGCCAAGATTTAATCTAAAGAGGTTTGTGTTTTAAAAACTAACAACCAAGTAATAAAACACCTATAAAAGGGATTTATAATGGAACCGGTGACAGTTTTGAGTGTAGTATTACAACTCTTCTGCTCCCCCTCTCCCCTCTTCTGTCCTTTCATCCAACTCTGCACCCTTTGTCTTAGCTCTTTCTCACCTTGCTGCCAAGAAGCATGTAAGTAGGGGCAGCTCACACCCTAGAGAAGCAAACCGTCTTAAAAAGTGAAGTGTGTTTTAGCTCTGCAATTGATGACTGCGCTGGGCTGCTGCTTTTGTTTGTTTGAGAGAAGTTGCTCTAACAAAGTACCTACCTAGCTTGCACAGTGGTTGCTAATGCAGAGCTGAAGATGCTGCTGCTGCGGGGTCACTGCCATGAGGATGCTAGTGTCAACGAGGGCAGGAAGCCGGGGACTCCTCTCCCTGGTCCTTGTGTCACCCTGCCAGGGCCCAAGACCGCCCTGGGGCAGACTTGACTCAACAGGTGGTTTTCCATCTAGGCCACCAAGCCTGAAACTTGGTTCTTTTACAAAGTCATAGTTCTCCTCCCCCTCACGAAGAAATGGCGTCTCGGAAGGGAAACTTCGTACTCAAACTCTGTAGGAGCCATTTCTCAAGGCTACTTTTACTATTTTCTGAAATCTCCCCTGTCAGCATCCCACCGGTCTCCGGGAAGAACGAGGGTCTCTCTTCAGAGTCTGGACGGCGCTGGGAGGCATGTGGGCAGCGTCAAAGTGGCCTCGCCTGGGCGGCCAGATGAGCCCCCAGCCTCCCTCTTGTGGGCCTCAGGAACTCGGGGGGCCCAGGGGAAGCCTGGAAAACCGAACTTCGCCATCAGCCTTCCTTCGAGCGCTGGCTAGAAGAGGGGGAAGGGCCCCCCCAGCCGTCTCCCCCCCGCCCCTAGCCCCTCTGCCACCCGGCTGCATCTCCCAAGAAAGCACTGAGAACGCAGCTCAGAGCCCTCCAGCTCCTCGCAGACCGGGAGAGGGCATCTTGAGGGGCAGCTTCCCCCTCCAGCGGCATCTGACATCCCCACTCCCACCCAAGGATGCCGCCGCCGTGCCCTGTCCGCAGTCGCTGAATGTCACTGCTCCCTCTTCCTCCTGATCAGGGTAGACACAGCTCCCGAAGCATCCCCCACCCCAAAACTGCCGCGACCGCCCAGGGTACAAGGCCCCGCGGAGGACGAAGTTTGGGGCCCACGGCGGCGGGGGGTGGGGGGCGCTTTGGCGAGGACCGCACCTCTCAAGTCCCAG